AGTCGACTTTAGCAAAGTCGACTCTATTAGTAAAGTTCCACGATACTCAGTCAAGAGGCCCGGTTCTCGACCGAGCCAAGGTACATCTGTCGACTAGAGTGAGTCGACCTCTGGAAAGACAATGGTCCGACGTATTAGGGTCTACTAACGGTTGAGTACGATCCAGTCGACTCGACATAATATTTCATGTCGACTGAGGGAGTTGTAGCTCGTGGTGCCCGATAGCTTTGAGACACCTCAGCGTATTGAGGAAGAATTAAGGATAAGAAGGAAGCTCAGGAAGGATCTAGATGCTGACTAGGAAGTAGGCAGAATATGAACCGACCGGGGTATTCCAGACATTTCCCTTAAGTCGGCCAGGGCATTTTGGGGACTTCAGGTATATATTGTACTCCTATATAAAGGACTGAGGTAATCCCAAAACCCTAACTCTCATTCATTCCATACATTTCTATTACTGCTGCTGCTCTGACAGCAGCTCCCATCATCTCTCTCACATACTGACTTGAGCGTCGGAGGCTCTACGCCGGAAAAACCCTCCGGCGTTGAGTTCTTGCAGGTGTTCGTACGATTCAGCAACGGCTCGGAGGTCATCAGGCCAGATCTAAGCTCGTTCATACCGGTTCATCCCAGATCCGGACGTTTTCTTACCAAACCGTCCCAGATCTGAGAGCAGACCCATCACATTCCACATCAGATAAAAAAAACGCCACGTGACGCCACGTCGATATTTAATCCGGGGGTGGGATAAAATAGGACCAACTTTGATTAAATGGACAATTTATAGGACCAAGAATGAAAGTGGCCAATGGCGGGGTGGTTTTTTGGACAGATGCCAACTTAGAGGACCAAAAATGAAATTTTGTCGGAGAAAGCAAGAAAAAGCGTGGTGGGGGAGTCGCAAGTTTTTACAAGAATCGTGTTGGGAAACATGATACTAGTTTTCCTCCCGTGGAATGTTTATCTCTTGTTGCGATCATTGCAATATGTATAGAGCCCACGCTTGGACTACCACAAAATACGCTTATGAGAGCTTCTCAAGCTAGCCACGTAGTCTCCAAGTCCATAAGCGCATTTGGCGCCCTAGGCATAGGTGTAGCCACGCAAAAATCCGACTTTTGGGGATGGGACGTGTATTTTGGTTTTTCATGACGAGACTGGTTGGAGGTGGCTTTACCAGTTTGGTTGTCAGCAAAGATCGACAATGATCCTTGGTGGGATCAACCCACTTTATGCGATAGATCGACACAAAATTTGGTGTAGGAGATCGGCACAGAGCTTTGGACTTTTGGGGCCGATCTGATGTATCTTGTGGGCTGGATCATTGCTGGGCAATGATCCTTATTTATCTTGGATGGACTTAACTTCCGAGAACGTTTATAACAAGGGGGGCCACAAGATTTTTGATCGCGAAGGGGATCGCTAGGTCGACGAGGGGTCCGAGAAGCTGCATGTTATTATTCATTAAGTGAACAATACCAAAGAAGAAATTAAAAATAAACAAAACAAAACAAATAGTAAACAATAGTGTGTGACCAAAGAAGAAATTAATATGCAGTCGTCTAATAAGTCGTCTAACTTCCGTTATTTTTAATATGCAGTCGATGTTTGGTTGGCATTAGACGACTGCTATTGACAATACCAAAGAAGAAATTAAAAATAAATAAACAAAACAAATAGTAAACAAGAGTGTGTGACCACCTTCTTGGAGAACTCTGCTTTCCAAAACACAAGAGCATCGTCCAAAATTGCGTCGAACACCCTAAAAATGCATGCATATATATAAATCATCAGCGACATCGTTAAACTTGAGTCCAAATTGCAGTATTGCACGTACAAATCTTCTGCCAGCAAAAGAGGACAAACAGTATAACTTAAACTTATTCAACTTATCACACAGAGAAATCACACACCAGCAATGACAACCAAACAAAGAAAAACAAGTCAAAGTGGAATAATAAGTTGAGGGTAAACAATATTAACTAGTAATTGTAATTAAGATGTGGAGTTAATATGTGACATAATTTATCGTATATCAGTTGTAAACAATATAAAATTATCTTGCATAAAATAACAAAAAAATGTATGTTTAAAATATTAAACACACCTAAATTATTATATAACGTATGTAAAGTATCTAAAATTTTATATATCATTATTGAAAGATGTGAATTCACCTAAAATTTTTATAAACAATTTTATAAGTAAAACGTGTCTAAAAGTATTTAAAAAAATCTTGCTTACAATATATTATTTGAATTTCCAAAGATGATGATAAGTATAAGTTTGAATTTTAAAACCCACGTGAGTATTATTTTTTAGATCCGTGTACTGTACAAATTATTTATTATGTTAATTTTCTGTTAAATTCATATTGATTTATTGATTTTATTTTATTTCCATACAAAGTTGTTCGTCTCATTTTGTTTTACCATATTTTCGTGGAGATTTAACAAAGTCGATTGCATTTATAAATGATTTGAATATCAACATACAATTTATAATGGAGTTTTCAAAATTATGTACTATTAACAAATAATATATTATCATTAAATGTTTTTTTTAAATGCACAATTATTGAGACTGAGAATTAGAAAATTATTTTACCTTTTGAAACCGAGTATAGAAAAAATAATAGATCGGTAATTTTTTTTTTTAAAAAAATATCAAGTTTATTATCACACGTTCCAAATAAAAAAAATTCGATGATTAGTGGAAAATGATATTTGAAGAATAGGATTCAATATTTTTTTTTTGGAAGGCATAAATATTAAGGCCGACATTTTTAAAATTATTATTACCTTTTGAATTGAGATTTTATAAATATAGAGGTTGAGATTTAATTTTCTTAGTTGTTTCTATGGAAAAAAAAACAAAAAAAAAATTAAAAATCGACTCGGAATGAGCATGATAATCGAACCAAGCCATCTAGCCTTGAATTCATATGCAGTTGTTTCTGTCAAAATCAGAATTTTATGTACCATAAGACGTATTTCGGGGGAAAAAAAAACTATATTTTTTCATTTTTAAAAATAGTACAAAAATCATTTGCATGAAATAATAATAATAATAATAATAATAATAATAATAATAATAATAATAATAATAATAA